AAAATTTAAAGTTTTCTTTGTTCTATATATTCAGAAAGCCTCGAAAAGGAACAAGGTATATTATTCATTTTGATCTTATACAAAATGTTTTTGTAAGTTTTGGACTGTGATGTTTGAAGGGAGAAAAATAAAACCTTATCAATAATTATCAAAAATTGGCTTTCATTTAGGTTTCTTTCTGCAGTGCCAACATTTGAACACAGGGCCTCAAGCATGCTAAACAAGCAGTCTACCACTGAGCCTGTAGCCCAGACCCTCAATCAAATCTATCAAGTCCTTACTGGAACTATCCTGTATGACATATCTCATGGTAGAGAGAACATGGGGTTTGGTATAGGTGTGTATGCTGAATTTGCTAGCCACCAGCTGTTGGACGTTAGGTGACTGACTTACCTACACTCTCTGAACATTAGTTTCCTCAGCTAAGAAAATGGGGATATTTCAACCAGATAGCATTCCTTTCCACAAATTAATTGAAATCAAACATATAAAATATCTAGTACTCTAAATGAGCAAGTAAGATAAGATAGGAGCTAATAAATGCTCATTTCCTTCCTCTGGTGCATAAAGCCTTGTACCTGGGCAGTGGGTCACCACCTGGGGGCAAGACAGACTGTTCCATACCTGGGAGTCAGAGAAATGTAATTATCATAGCCCCTGTGCACCCCACCCTCAGAGCTCTCTTCCTATGTAATTGATCTTGACCCAACATGCAAAATATTGCAGTTTCTTCAATACACACAAGAACTCTGCTGTTGGAGCTGATATCATCCAATTTATTTTTAGTAAGGCCTGTTATTCATCAGTGTTTAGGGAATAATAAGACTTAAGTGGTGGGTGATTTAAACTTTGTCACACGAAAAACATACTAGCTTAATAAAGTACAAGGACATTTCTGCATATATACTTTCATTCTCAAGCTTGGATTAAAAGTATTTTATATGACAAACATTAAAATATGTTTAGGGAGACATCCCAACAATTGCACAATCCACCAAATAACTGCATCTAAGCAACAACAACTGTAGTTTAGGGTCTGAAAATCCCCCTACAACTGTTTTACAGCTTCTTCTTCAACCAGGCAAAGTCTGTTCAAGCTTTTAAATTTCAAATCATTGGATTTTTTAAGGCACCTTGAAGTTCTCTCAACTCTGATGATGTAACATTTGTGAGTAGAACCTTTTTGGAAAGTGATTTTCACATACATTAAAGATTCTCTACATGCCTTTCAACAACAATACATGGGAAGCTCTGACTTATACCTGAATAGTGTGGAGGATTGTTGTGCCCTCTGGTCTGGGGCCAAAGAAAAAGCAGTCCAGGCCCTTGCAGGCTTGCTGACCTAATTGGAAAGTTGGTTAAGCAGCAGGAAATCAAGCTTCTCTCCTCCCTCTCTTGTATATCAATGTAGTACACAGTCATCATAGCAATTTACTCATGGTATTTTAAATCAAAATTAGGTGTTTTGACATTAAAAGTTGCCAAAGAAAGCCAATATTGTTTCTTGGAATCTGAAAACAGAGAAGTTGCAGTTATTAAAAACAAACTAGTCAAAAGGCTTTTGGTACTGATTTGACAAATATCAAGTGTTCAAAAATTTGTGAGTTAACTCACAGATGACAGCTTTCACAAAATTGATCACAGTGGCTTCAGCAGTATTGTTGGCAAACATCACAGGTTGGAGGTCTTGTCCCTGTTGGCTTGTTCCTCATGCCTCAGTTCCAGCACCTGTTTTCAGTGACTCCTGCTCAGCACCAAAAGGCCTCAATCTTCAGTGGCAGTTTTCAGTAATGGGGCACACTACAGAGGACAGTGGTCTTGACCCCTCTTCTCCCAAAGAGCACACGTTTATAAAATTGAGAGAAAAGTCCATAAAATGTTACAAGTTCTCTGATCCAAAGGCACAAAGAATAAAGTTGGCAGGTAGCTGACCAAACCTGACATGTATATATGTGTGTGTATGGGTGTGTGTGTATGTATAAACGGTTATGTTAGAAGTATAAAATCTGTGAACTATTTTTCCTCCAGTGTTCTGACTAAGGCTGAAAACATCAGGTTCCCTTGGTGTCTGGACTTCCAAAAGACAAATGCTGGAGTCTTCTGATGCTCAAGAAAAAGTAAAAAGTCACCATTAATCATCAAAAAGGTAATTGCTGGAAACTATAGGCCACCTGAAAATGAAAATGAGGTAAGGCAAGACTTCTTAAACTGTATAGGTAGCTTGAAATGGCTCAAAAACGTGCAGGTACATGCATGATCATACATGATCAACCATGACCAACCATGCCTGGAGAGTCACGGCTACAGAGAAAGTAAAAGCTCGAATATTTCTCCTCCTCCTCAGATGTTGACGTGAGAGAGGCTGCCTAACTAGGGCAGCGGCAAAGCCCAGGAATGGCTGTGTGGTGACCAATGAGGCATACATTTCTTGCCTATTAATAGTTTGCAGTGTTAGAAGGCTGCGGGTTTGGCAAGTCAACATGGGCTCAGGTTTTCCTCGTCCCGGGGCAGGCATGCCTCCAGGTACCACGATGCCGGTCACACTACACAGTTTGTGTAAGTGGGCACGCACGCACACACACACACACACACAACTGCACCTCTTTAGCTTACTAAACAGAATAATCCTGAGAAGGCATCTACGACAGGTTGGAGGTCCCAACATGCCAATAACAGCTACATGGACAGGGATACACCCGGGACGCGTGCGCAAGACCTCCCGGAAGGCCTTTCCAGGATGCCGGCCACTGCCTTCTGCAGAGAGGAGGAACCGCCGCCACGCACCTGCCCACGGGGGGGGGGGGGGGCAGGAGGACAGGCCGGGTCAGAGCACGCGGGGAGGGCGGCGGGCGGCAGGGGGGGGCGGGGACCGGCTGGGCCCGCGGCTCAGATGAAGTGGATCCAGCTCTCTTCGCACTCACCGCGCGGCAGCTGCAGCCGGTGCTCGCGGCACGTGAGGCTGTAGTCGCGGCGGTCGTTGTTGTCCCAGTACTCGGCCCCGGCCACTCGGTAGCGCAGCGCGAAGTGCACGCGGGCGCCCAGCTCCAGCAGGAAGGGCGGCACCGGGAAGCCAAAGGCGAAGACGTCCTCGGAGCCAGGGGCGCCGGCCGGGCCTCGCCAGCGCGCCGCGGCCTCGTGCGCGCGCCGCCAGCCGGAGAAGGTGTAGCGCACCGACACCTGCTTCTCGAAGGCCACGTTGCGCACGCGCACGGTGCCGCTGACGCCCAGGTCCGAGCAACTGACGCGCTCCAGGCACACGAGCTGCCGGCCCAGGCGCTCGCCGAAGTCGGCCGCCTCGACGGGCGGCGGGAAGTCGGGCACCAGGCACCGCAGCGTGAAGGGCGGGTCCGCGCGGCGGCGGCGCAGCTCGGAGTCGACGGCCAGCCGGGAGAGCACGTGCAGCGGCACGGCCGGGTCGTCCCCCGCGCTGAACACCCGCACCTGCGCCAGCTCGAGGCCCAGCGCGTCGGCGAAGCGCACGCGGGGCGGCCGGCCGCCGCCCGCCCGGCCCGGCGCGCCCGCGGCGCCCGCGGCCCTCGGCCTGCGCTCGGGGGAGGTGGGCAGCGAGCGGGCCCGCCGCGCGATGATGGGCCGCGGCGGGGAAGCGCAGCCCGACGGCGCGGGCGCCCGCGGGGGCTCCCGGGGGGCGGCGGCGGCGTCCAGGTTCGACAGGCAGCTGAGGCTCCGGAGAACGGGCCTCCGGGAGCCCGCGCCGCCGGACATGGCCCCCGCGGGCGGCCGGGGGCGGCCTCGGACCCCCGCTAGCTGCGTCCCCGCCCCCAGCCGCGCACGGAAGCCCCCGGGTCCGGGGGCCGGCCAGGGGCCCCGGGGGCCGCTGCGCCCTCGCTTCCCCGGCCGGGGTCCCCAGTCCCCGCCTCGGATCCCCGCGATCGCGCGGAGGAGCTCTTCGGGGTGTCCGCAGGAGCGCAGGGCGGCGCCGCCTCTGCCCGGAACGCGGCGCGGCCCGGGCGGCCCCGCCCACCTCCCCGCCCGGCCCGCGGGGTTCCTCGGAGGCCGCCGCTTCCCGGCGCGCCGCCGCCCCGCCCCTCGTGACGCCGCCCGCCCTCCCGCGGGCCCGCCGGCCGCGCGCACCCGAGCCCCGCCGCAGCGCCGGCCCCGCCGCAGCGCCCGGCCGCCCGTCCTCCGCGCGGCGCGGGAGCCCGCGGGCTGCGGCCTCGTCACGTGCGCTCGGCCGCCCCGGATCAGGTCTGGTCGATCGCTGTCGGAGGGGCGGGGCGGGTGCGGTCCGCACGCGCAGGCCGGCTGCTGCGAGCTGCGGGTCGGTGCGGGCCCGGGGGCGGCGGGGAGGCCGAGCCGGCCCGGGCAGGACCCATCCAGGCCGCCTTGATCGAGTCTGGACCCCGGGCCCGCCCGGGCAGCCGAGCCGCCCAGAGCAGCGCCGTCCCCGCCGCGCCGGTGGCCGGCCGGCCCCTCCGCGAGGGCGGCGCGCGCTGCGGCCGGCAGCCCAGGCCCGCAGCCCGGGAGCGGAGGCCGGGACGCACCGCGCCGCGGCCCGTGGGCGCTCGAGGGAGCCTTCTGTAGCTTTGTTTCCCGGCGTGGGAGGACGGGGTCTGTCTTCTGCTCCCTAAAAGCCCCGCAGGCATTGGCTTCTCCTGGAGACTTGGGCCGGAAACCCAGCTGCTCCGGATGTGGCGCTTGCCCTGTGGAATGAGAGGAAGCAGCTCACTTTGTAGAGAGAGGTTCAGACGTGGAGGCCTGCCTTCCGGGGTTCTTTTTACGGTCCAGGGGATGAAGCAGAAAGAGAGCCGATGCATGGAAGGGTTTGGTAAAGAACACAGCGAGAAGGTGTCAGGCCTGCTGTGGTATGCTCAGTTCATTGCACAAGCCCTGTGTGAAGTCTGTGTAAACGGACATGATTATATACTAACCACAAGCTTTCCTAACCCCACCTCTTGGTATTTTACAGAGGCAGGGTTATTATGGGAGAGCAAAGTATTCACTTTCTAGGTATGGCTTCTTGTGTGGGCCTCTCAAAGTAGCAGAGGAATCACTGTCATGTGTGATATGTTTGAACAAAGCATCACCAAGCAATAACGTCTACTGTGTAACGTGTATGAGCACATTAGTTATCTTTTAATGGAATGATTTGATATAGAAGACAGAATCTGGAGGGAGCTTTCCTGTAGGACGGGCTTGTGTGATAAGTAACCCTTGCTGTTTTCTAGACATTCCTGTAATTATTAGTTGAGTGATAAGTAGACATGAGAGCTTTGGAGAAAGATAATGACCTAAATTAGCTGCACAAATTTCCTTAAACATTTTACTTCCAAGGAGATTGTGAATGTGTGTGTGTGTGTGTGTGTACACGGAAGGATGGAATACATCCACAGCACTTTACAGCAGTGTGCTCTCATAACTACTGTCTCCTGTGAAAAACAAGCAAATAGAGACTAAACGGTAAACAAGACAATATTCTTTCTCTAATTCTTTACAAGTCAGAATACTAACCTGGCACCCAGCACAGCTTCAGTGTTTCATTATTGGGCAAGCACTGAGCAATGAAAGGCAACCCAACCCAGTACTGATCAGAGAATGATTTGCAATCAGTACTTACTGTCACTGTGTTGTTGCTTCTAGTTCCGGCAGTGAAGTGATCTTTCCAAATATAAGAGGAATAAAGAAGTCACCTTCCCAGCTGTCAACGTCTTCCAGCACATTGAGCAAGAATATTTTAAGTACCACAGCAAAGGTGGTGTAAACCTGGAGGGGGAAAAAATAAGTCTTAGATTTTTTTTTTCCTTCCTTCCTTCCCTCCCTCCCTCCCTCCCTCTATTTCTCCCTTCCTTTCTTTGCTTCTTTCTCCCTTTCTTCCTCCCTCCTCTCTCTTTTCTTTCTTTCTTCCTTCCTTCCTTCCTTTCTTTCTTTTTTTCTTTCTTTCCTTTGTGTACTCACAGTACTTACTACTGAATATCTTTTTCTAGACAGTTTATCACGCATTAGATGATGATCAGCCATGTGATTTTTTCAAGAAAAGGAATAGGATGAGTGAATCTTATCAGAAAAGCAGGTAAATCGTTTTCAGATGATTGCTTCATCTTGCAAAGGGCATATGACTTCACTTGCTATCTGTGTGACTAGAATAAGTGGATATAAAATGCATATTTATATATTGTTTATTTTGTTTTTTGGTGGTGTGTGGTGATAGTCATGGGGCTTGAACTCTGGGCCTGGGTGCTGTTCCTCAGCTCTTCAGCTCAAGGCTAGTGCTTGAGCCACAGTGCCACTTCCGGCCTTTTCTGTTTATGTGGTACTAAGGAATGGAAACCAGGGCCTCATGTATGTGAGGCAAGCATTCTACCATGGAGCTACCTTCCCAGCCCCCATAGTTATATTTTTATTTAGCATAAATGAATGGGAAAAAGAGAGTCAAGCTTTGTTAGCTGGTCAATTCCAGAGATCATGATCCTGTCTATGTTTACAGACCTACTCTTTTACCAAGTCTTGGATTACCTTCCTTTGATTTTTTTAAATTTATTTTTAAGTAATTATCTTAAAAGAGTTTCAATTCAGGGGCTGGGAAGGTGGCTTAGTGGTAGAGTGCTTGCCTTGCATGCATGAGGCCCTGGGTTCGATTCCTCAGCACCACATAAGCAAAAAGAAAAAAGCCAAAAGTGGCGCTGTGGCTCAAGTGGTAGAGCGTTAGCCTTGAGCTGAAGAGCTGAGGGACAGCACCCAGGCCCAGAGTTCAGGCCTCATGACCGGACCCCCCCCCCAAAAAAAAAGTTTCAATTCAACAAGTCAGAGTATGAGTATAATGTAGTTTCTTTTTAGATAGAAGAGCCACTGCCATTAATTGTCTTTGACAGATGCACAAAACCATTCAGTTGTAAATAGAAGTATTAGCAGCATTCATGGTGAATTCTGAATTATAGCTCCTCTTTCTTTGTGTGTGCTGTGTTGTGCTCTTGACAATGACTTACCATACTCTGTTTTTTTAACTAAGAGTAACACTTTTTCTTGGGGGGGAGGGCAGTCATAGGGCATGAACTCTGGGCCTAGGCGCTGAACCTCAGCTCTTCAGCTCAAGGCTAGTGCTCTACCACTTGAGCCACAGCACCACATAAGCAGAAAAAGCCAGAGGAATCGAACCCAGGGCCTCATGCATGCAAGGCAAGCACTTTACCACTGAGCCACCTTCCCAGCTCCAAGAAACACATTTTTAAATAATCACTTAGTGTGATTGGAACCAGTAAACAAATAGTTGTCCTCCATTTCTGCTTATATAATTGGACTTTTGTTACAGCTTTAGTTAAATACTGCTTAGTGGGAAGCCAATTAAAAATAAGGTATTTTAAACTCAGGTGAGATTCTACCTCAGAATAAATTTCCTCAGAAAGAATCTCTTGCCATATAACAATGCACATAATTTCCATTATTTCCCTTTGCCTGCCAGTCACAAGATGGCTTGAGTCCCATTTTTCATTCATAGTGGCTTATAATAACACCATGTAATTTTATTTCTATCCTTTCAAGCACAACTTTCCTGTGTGTCTTTCCTACTTAAAAACAATAGGATAACACTGATCAAGATGAATTGTACACATAAACTGTACAGCTGTTAAACTGAAAACCCTTTTGTATAACTATTTAAAGATAAAATAGAGAGAGGAAAAATACTGATAAGATGTTTGTTTAAGATATGAGTTGCACGTGCTATACTTTTACATATTGAAATGTTACCTGACTCAAAATTGCCACAGAGTCCGTGATGTCAGACTTGAATTTTACATCATATTTCCATTTACTCTAAGATAGCTATTCACAAGAAGGATGTATGCTTTACTTTAAATGGTTTTAAACATGGTTGAATACTAGTAGACCCAACTTAAGGTTTGGGGGACACTTTTCTAAACTAATGTTTTATGAACTACACACAATTGGTCTAAATTTATAAATACTTTAAGAAATGTTCATGTTTTTCTGAAGTCCTAATGTAAACTGCACTTTAGACCTCAGACCCAAAGTTGAGACATTTTATATTATAGATCTAGCCGCTCCCCCTGATGTGTCAAGTAAAAAGACATGGGGAAAGGCAGAGAAAAGGAATTCGATCTGTGGCAGTGACAGGGAGACAGAGATTCAGTACGTCTTTCAGCCATCTTTGGATGTGTAGACATTGGGCTTAGCTTTAAATTGACAGAGGACTGGGGGCGGGAGAGAGAAAGATATGCATACCCAAAACTAAGTCACAGTGCAGCTCTTTGTCTCTGGAAGAATTTTGGAGACCTTGTTAACACTTCCTCACTTGTGGGGAGTAGGAACTAATCGGTCTCTGTTGCCTAGCACGTAGTCTGTAGCTTTTGACTTCCTTTGGGGTTGTTTCGCCTTTTACCACAGGACGATGGAATTGTCTATCCAAAGCTAGTTTACCTTTTGTTGTAAAGTGCTTATTGGTGGTAAGTCCTGTCCTTCCTGGAAGTGGTTATGAGGTGACTGTAGGAAGAATTGTGTTAGATCAAAGTACAGATGAAGGAGGAGAGTGCTCAGTTTTTATCCTGCTTTTAGTTAATTCACGGGCCTAGCAAATGAAGTTTTAAAGTTTCATCATACACTAGTGTTTGGTGCAAAATAGGACTCAAACATCCATGTTTGTTGCATGTGTTCTATAGTGGTATGAATAAAGTACTATGGAGCAAAAGTCTGTCCCTGAAAACATAGGCAGAGGATTCTTTTTGTTTTTCTAATTATAGCCAGATATAACATTTGTTTATTTATGTAGTAAGAAATGCAGTTTTTCTTTTTCACAGTAATATGGATGCTTGCCCATCTTGGAGTAAAGTACATCATTCAAAGAATTCTTCAGGAAAAAAGCAGAGTAAATCCCAAATCCCTGGTGTTTCTTCCCAGCTGAGAAGTGGCCTGGCGGGGGCCTCCCAGCCAGCTGGAGACAAACACAAGGAAGGCATTTCTGCGGAAAGAAGACCTGGCCGGAATATACCCAGCCCCAGGAGTCAGGGGGGCTCAGGACACAAGCTGCTGATGGACTTGGGATCGATGAAGATCATGGAGGAAGACGCTGATGAAGACAGCGCCAGTGATCTGTCAGATTCAGAGAGAATCCACATCCCTCCCTCTCCCCTCACACCTCCAGATCTTAATCTTCGAGCTGAAGAAATAGATCCTGTTTCCTTCGACCTTCACCCGGGACAGGGCGGGGCAAGGCCGGAGTACTACTACCCAGATTTCCTCCCACCTCCGTTCAGTTCCTGGGACCTGCGGGACATGGCCATGCTTCAGAATGCAGAGTGCAAGATAGAGGTGACCACCCGAGCTGGGAGCCTTGGAAAGTACATGGACAGACTCATCCAGCTGGAGTGGCTGCAGATCCAGACAGTGCAGTGTGAGAAGAGCAGAGCTGCTAAGACAAGGCCTCCTGTCGCCCCGGGGGCCTCTGGAGCTGTGAAAAGCCCTGGGAGAAGCAAGCTACTTGCTAGTGCTCTGTCCAAACCATTACCTCACCCAGAAGGAACTTCAAAGCCAGGCCCTTCACGAAAGAAAGATTGTCACCATGAGGAAGTCCACCCTTCCTATTATACATTTGAGGCCTCCCCAAGACGCATGGATGGGCCCAGTTGGACCAGGTTGGCCTCTCAGAAGCCAACCTCTGAGATGAAGACCGAGGAGAAGAAAAAGAAATCAAGTAAAAGCACCAAGCTGAGACACTGGGATTTGCCCTGCAGCGACAACAGCTCTAAGATGGAAGCCAATGGCAACATCCGAATTCCCAAACAGTCAGCCATGTTACTGGACCCAGCTGATCCCTGCCGCATCCCCAGAACACAAGCCCACGCCAATCTTAAGAAAAAAGGCAATGTGAATAACTGTGGTCATGCCACCGTGTCCAGTGAGAAGAAACTCAAAACAAATGGAGGAAAGCAAAACACATACAGATTAAAGTAGTATCTAAAATAATATGTTGCAGACCCATAGATTCCTTAACCTCTTCTAGAAGGTCCAGCATTGGGCACCTGGAGGCTGTCTGTGAGGGCTGACGGTTAGGCGGTCAGTGGGCTCTTTGTCTATCCCACACCCATCCCAATAGAATCACTTTCAAAGGGAGATTTTTCTCAGTAAGTCCTCCTTGAGTTAATAGTCAAGCAAAAGTGTTAGAGCCCTTTTGGGTAACATTTCCTCAAAGGGATAAAATAATGATGCCATCTAGCCTATGTGTGGATTAGCTCCTCATTGTCACAGGTCCTAGTGTTGGAAATAAAGCCCTTTTGGCTACCGCCTCTCCTGCTTTTTCCTAAGCTCTTCAAGCTAAATTTCTGTTTCACTCCCAGGAGAAGCCTTAGTTCCTCCCTGAGTTAGGGAGAGCTTGAGTTTCTATTTTGAGCAGTCATTTATCACTAAGCTGCTTGCTTGCCAGGACAATGGCATCCAGAATGTTAATAGGTCTCTCTGACATGATTTGAAAGGGTATTTTAAATTTAGAGGTGGAGTAAAGTCCATTCTGGAGTTCTGTAATCTGAGTTTAAATTATTTGCAGACTCTCCAGATGGGAAGTCTGTGGGCCTCAGCCTGATTATTGACTTGGGTGGGGATGGAACAGGAACTCCTTACACCTTAACCTTTCTGGCAGGCAAACCACTTCTCAGGAGAACTTTGAGAAACCACCTTTTAGAAGTGGTAAATGGAGTCCAGTCATAGTTGCTTGTAACAGTTATTGGTGACCAGTTTCAGTCTGTAATCATCCCTGGGGTGGAAGAGGGAGGGAGATGATAGACTTCCAGATAGAAGGGAGTAGAATGGGGGTAACTGTGCGGGATGCGCCTGTGCTTCTTATCTACCCCAGGGCATCCTGGCTGCTTTCTTAGTCACTTTTGCTTGTTCCTGGGGCCGTACTGTGAGTGTTCTATTGATATTTGTGGATATGTACAAAACTTAGGTGGACTCTCTTGATAGACTGTATTTTAATTACTTGATTTTATCCCTTGAAACATTATTGTATTGGTTTTGTTCTCTTTTTTTTGGCATCTAAGTTTCTACTTTTTTTATCCTGGGGACAATGAAGAACCTGGCATTGCATTTGGAAATATGTAATAGCCTGAATGTGCTTCATACAATACTGCCATCAGAAACAACATAAGGAGAAGGTGTATTTATAATTACAATAGGCAAGGTTAAATATTAAGATTGCCTTTTAAAAATGAATGTTAATCTTGATAAGCATAGGGACATTTTTATGATAATTTTTTTCTTTCAAGGCTTTCCTTCCAGGTTTGTTCAGATTCTCATTTATTTGTTTGTTGTTTGTTTGTTTGTGTTGTGCCAGTCCTGGGCTTGAACTCGGAGCCTGGGCACTGTCTTTGAGCACCTTTTTATTTAAGGATAGCAGTCTACCACTTGAGTCACAGTTCTACTTCTGTTTTTTTTTGTGTAGTTTATTGGAGATAAGCATCTCATGGACTTTCCTGCCCCAGCTGGCTTCAAACTGCCATACTTAGCCTTCTGAGTAGCTAGGATTACGAGCAGCAATTGGTGATTCTCTTTCATTCTTTGCCTTTCATACCACTCTGCTGTTGAAAGCATGCTATTACCCCAGGTCTTACACTTTCTGTATGAACAGATGTACATATAATAGGGCCTGCTTCCTTCTCAAATGTGCTCTTAACTGCTGTCCTTGGTCCTTGAGTGGTATTTGGAAAACAACACCTAATGTGTCCTAGTTGGCCTGCCCCTTAGAGCATAGATTAACCCATTGCTGATGGCCAGCTCCTCCCTTATTCTTACCCTCCAAGATTTTATGCAGCTCTTTGTGAAAGCTTCACGGCCAACTAACAGTAGTAAGCATGGCATTACATACATATATTAATATAGTCCTTATATTAATACTAAAGGGTTTATGCCAGGCTGTGGCCTTTTGTGGTTATGCAACAATGTGAGTATTCTACTCTTCAAGATCTTGAATGGGTGAGGGGAGTTGTTTTCCTTCTGTGTCTGACCTATAGATCATCATGATAAAGAAATCTAGAAGTTATGTCTCATGGAATTTTTTTTTTCACAGTTCCTTTGATCAAAGTTGGTTGTTTAAGCTGGGGAAGTCGTAACATTGTGTCTTGAGACAGTTCTAAAAGCCTGGAAAAATGACTTCACTTGTATCCCTTTTTTGCCTGAGGTTGGTTGTTTAACCAGTATTATTAGGTCAGACCAAAGCGCCTATGAACAGTGTTTTGTTTTTTAGAAGTAAGTTTAACATAAGCACAATGCTAGGTTTTTGATCTCTAGTATACTTATCCAGCACACCTTAATGCACTGAATGCTGTAGATAAGAATCGTGCTGTTCTCAAGTTCTGCTTGATGGATAGTTGAATCATGAACTCATCGTGTCCAAACCATCTCGGATCCTGCTGGTCTGGTGACTCGAGTCACGATTTGTGAGAAGTGCCTCTCATGTCTGAGGAGTTGTTTACATATACCTTGCATTGAAACCATTTAAAATCTGAGACAAGAATGAGAAAAAATGTAAGAAAAACTATTTTGGGCTGAGAATTGGTTGGTGGAAAAAGTTGGAGAAAAGTACAAAAATATTGAATTAGAATGCTAGATCAAAATTTGCTCTATCTGTTGACTTTGAAAGTATTCTCAATTTTTAAGTGACTAAGGGGACCAAAGGAATAATTAGTAGCTTAGACAAAATTAGGGATGACACTATCGTTGCTCTTAACAATAGCTAATAGGTAGAAGAAAGATGGTTTGTTTTGGTTCTTTCAGTCTGTTAGGATACTTCCGAGACAGATGTAGAAACTTCCATCTTACATGATAAAACAAATATTGTTTCCTCTTTCCTTGATGCTATTAACCTGAGTAGTTATATTGAAAATTTGAAACTACTGGTGGTACTGTATTTCAAGGTGATAGAAAAGCATTATTTTTTATTTTATTTCAGGGCACTATTTAACATGACCTGAAGATATTCAGCATGTTTATTTGTTATTATAACAATGGTATGCTTGGTTTTATATGTAATAAAACAATTCCTGTTAAGTTTTTGTGAACTTGAATTTGTTTTTGTTGCTGGAAATCAATTAAACAAAGAAATGTTGTCTAAATTTTTCTGGCATGGTTTTGTTTCGCTTCGCTTTTGTCTTAAGTTTTCTTCCTGTCTTTTCCAAGAATCGTCAGGATGAAATCCTGCCCCAGCTCTGATCTTAATACTGAGCATGTGTGGCACACAGTGAGTCTTGCTAGAGACACTGGTGGAGCATCGCTGTGCATTGAGTTCTTGAATCCACCAAAGATGAGGAGAAGGTAGGTGAGCAGGATGTAAATTCCCATGAGGACAAAATTCAAGTACCTTGGGACAGCACTTACACACCCATAAACACATAGATCTCCAAGGAAGCCATCTGATTCGAAGGCAGCACCTCACCACAAACAAAACCTGAAAGGCCTCTTCCTTGGCCTCCCTTTCCTAAGCTCTCTTCAGACAATGAGGTGTACTTTTTGAGCCTACTAGATTGTGGCAGTAGTGGTCGTGGGAGATGAAAATAATACTGGTTTTAAACACAGGCTTAGGTCACACAGGAAATGGCAGATAATTCATGGTTGTTGAAAATTTATCATCCACCAGGTGGCAGAGGAATTCTTTTAGCCTTGAATTGGTCCTGTTATTGCCTTCTAATCAAATGAAAAGCTTTGCGTTGGAATAAAAAAAGGAAATGAGAGAGAAGTACACTGAGTCCAAACCCAGACAGGTTCTGTTCTTAGCTTTAGTGTGTCACCAGAGAATGAAGGACGCCATTCCCATATCACAATCATTACCTCAGAAAAATCTGCATAGAGACCCTGTTCCATAAATTGCAATTTAAACATGCCAGTCCTTGGCAATTTCATATTTATGGTATATGTGGAATATAAAATGAGAATGTCATGCATATAACTACAGTTTTCCTAGCTAGAGTGATGCTCTAAAGTGTGGAGCTCAGAACACCAAGGTAAAGGAAGAGGCTCCGAAGTGGGATTTCCTCAGCTCCTTCACAGAAACTGGAACACTGCTCTCCTAACGCTACTACAAACCCAGAAGTGCCATTTGCTCTGTGCAAGAGGTGGTCACAGTAACAGGCCACCATCAGAATGGGTCCTGTCCCATACCCGAGAGCAAGGAAGGAAAGCTGGGTGCAAAGCACCTGAGCCAGCCCAGGCCAGGCCTTGCTGGGCATCTCCCGCTGTCCAGGACACATTTCCTCATGGCTGTCCATGTTTGTCACATGGAAACACAAAAATAAACAGGCCAACTTGGGTCTCAGAGACTATTTCTGCAAAGCTCCCATATCACCTGACACTTCAATAAAGTCTCATGGTTTTCTCTTGTGAACCTGTCTTTTGTTAGAGGAATATCGGGCCTAGCCTTTATGATAGGTGAAGGAAAGTACTTCTACTTTCCCCAGCACAAGAGAAAACTAATCATGTCTTAGACTTCAGATTGCATAAAGGTAGCCCAATACTGTATATCGCTACGCTCCTGAGACCCTCCAGCCCTCTGAATCAGTCTGCCTTTTAACAAGATCCTTGGTACAATAAAGCTTGAGAAACATGTTTTCCCGTGCTTACACACCTGCAAGTCTGAGTTGGTGGCTTCTATGATTTTTAAAGACCAGACATTCTCCTCCCTACACCCACCCCTATTACACACTTTGACTCTGAAGGAAATCATTGCCTTACCCTTAGCAGTTTTCTCCAGGGCCAAGAGGCCTCCTACTGGTTGTTTAATTGTAGAATTGATCACTGAGAAGCGATTTATGCCTCTGATCATCTGTATCACAAGTGAGAGCTTTCCCCTGTGAGTATTAGAATTGAAAGATGCCGACCAAAAAGTGAGGAAAACCTCTGGTGTGCATTTTCATTGTTTTCCTGAGCTGGACGATGATAACCCTTTCCCCCGTCCTTCTCCAAAGGATACAAATGAACACTTTGGAAACAGGCAGCAGAAGGCACTGCCGTTCACTCTTCCTCCATGCCTGCCTTCAGTAAGAGGAAGTGAGGAGGGTGGGGAGACGGGTGAGAGGCCGGGTGTTAGGCCACAGGCGTAGCTGGCCCCAGACAGTATTAGTGGCTCTCTCACATCATGGTGAATCTAATACATCTTTATTCTTAGTGAAGAGTCCTTGTCCCCAGTTCCTGGGTACTTTCAGTATAGTTTCTCTGGAAAGGCAGCAAATGACTATACAAAGTGCCTTGTTCAACAAGCCTGAAAAACAAAGCCCAGCTGGCACCTGATACCCATAGGAGT